GGGCGTTATTTCAGAAACACTCTGTACATATAGATTTCGTGCGTGATTTGCGATTTTTGGAACTTTAAAGATCTGATAAATTACTTTCTTATGCAATTTTGCATTTTTTGAAGCATATATCTAGCGACTGTTGTGAGTAGGTCTCAGTGAATCTTTACAGACTCTACCATCCTTGGTAAAGGATTTTCATTTCAGATGTAGCGGAAGATGTCAAGGGTGGGAGGGACAGGGAGAAAGAGGACTAGAGAGCTAACTTGAAGAGTTAATTAAGTGTTTACTCGTCTTACAAGCTCAGCTTGCGCATCTCTAAATACAAACTACGATTGCCACACATACAAATGACAGCGTTCAGAAATTACCATTAAATCTAGTCTTTTCATACTGCATACAGCAGCGCATGCTATATATTCCCTTTGTATACCATGCGGACTTATTTCAATTTAAACACCCGATGCAGAAGAAAATGTTAAATATGGCCGACTTTGACTGTGCTATTTGTGTTTCTATAGTGTTTTCCTTCCCCAGTCTATCCCATCCTTGTTGCTATGGCCGTAACAATCTACTAATTTAGTAACAATTTTTAAATTATTTATTAATAATTATTAAATAATTTGATAATTATCAAATATTTAACTAATATTCTCAAATAATTTGGTTTTAAGTATTCAATCATTTAGTCGAATCAACTAACCGAAAATTTTAGCTTTCTAAATATTTAGTAATTATTACCAAACGGTTAGTTACTATTATTATGTTTGGTTTTACTTATTAAATATTGCATCAATATGCTTAACAAAATGCATTTGATAGGTATTACAAGACTTTTTTCTCAGTATAGATAAACGCTATGTAAGGCTTCAGAAAATAGATGTATGAATTAACAAAAAACCGCAATGGTAATCAGTGACGGATTAAGCATTTTGCCGCCCCTAGGCACCAACATCTAGCCGTCAACAGGTGGCTTCATTAATTTATGATAAAAGGAATGATGGATTAAAAAAATGATTTATACCAAACCGCATTAGCTAGTAAAAGCATTCAAGAATTCTGAATAAGTAATATAAATATAATACATTTTTCAATAAAAATATAAAATCAAAGACAGGTGATTGAGAGCAAAAATTAAAATGCAGTTGTTAAAGCGTTATACGTTAACAAATGTATTTCGTAGACCTTAAAACTAATATGATGAGATCGGACGTCTCGGTTCAGTTCGAGCCATCCTCAGCGATGTCCAGAAAACATTATAAATTATTTAAGCTAGAATCCGAGAATAGCTAAAGGAGCCTCTGCAATTTCAAACTTAAGAAAAATCATTGTCAATTAGTTGAATGGTTAACTGAATACCAAAGAAAAGTAATAATTAATAATATGATAATGATAAAAACAAGCATAGAATGATCAAAGGACTCACCCGCTGCAAATCATGATCCGAATATCAAAAAATATAGAAACGCATGAATAGAAATAAATCGTTGAGAGACCCGAATCGTGTAAATATCAGAGTTCAAATGACAGTAACAGCATAAAGTATATAACGTTGAGCATTGTAACGTAACAAAACAGATTATAGAGTCAACAAGTCATAAAATAAAATTATACAGAAAGTCAACTAATATAAAATGAATTCTCGTCGTACATCAAACCTTGTTTATAATGTTCAGATAAGTTTCTGTTAAAAATTTATCAACTGTTATACAATAGGGTCGCAAACCATAAGCCGTAAAAAATTGATCAATCACAGACGAACATGAGAAAAATAATCGACTATGATTGGTTAATTTCTTACGGCTTACGGCTTTATTGTGTAAGTCCGCAAACACACAATAGAGTAGTAAGCTTTAAGTCTTAAGGAATTAACCAATCATAGTCGATTATTCTTCTCACATTCAACTGTGATTGATCAATTTCTTAAGGCTTAAGGCTTACTACTCTATTGTGTTTGTGGACTAACAGGCCTTAGGGCCGCCGCAGACAAAATTTCTGTAACAGTAACCTTAAGACGTGAACTTAAGCCAATGAGCTAATCAGGATACTGCTTTAGATCTACGTACTCTAATGGAAATAGAAATAGCAGTAAACTTATTATAAGGCGAGTTTCAACCGGTTGAAATTCGCCTTATTGCGAGGTTATGGATAAGTTTATTGTTATTTCCATTTCCGTTAGATTACATAATCTAAAGCAGTTTCCTGATTCATCAGCTTAAGTTTACGTCTTACGCATACTATTATGAAATTTTATGTGCGGCAGCCCTTAAGCCGGGAGCACATAGAAAAACGTAAGGCCGTAAGACGTAATCAGTAAGGAAATCGTAACATTGGATTCGCTACTGGCCTTACGGTCTCTACTGTGATTAGCCAATTCACTGCTTGCGTATTACGGCCTTACGTTCTTGTATGTGTCATGGGCTTTAGCGCCGAAACACTACCGTATCTCCAGAAACTAGAAAAGTAGAAATAATTCGATTACATAAATTGCATAAATCGTTTACGTTTTTCAAGTGTATTTGAATATTGTCGCACAGCGGCATACGTGGATTCTTTTATGGGCACATTCACAGTCTCAATGAGCTTTATCAAATAAAGTTTCCTGATGAGAACCACGACGTTTTAATCAGTTTTGAAGAAGCAAACGATCGTACGAATCCTGCGGCAAAATGAGCGCCGGTGCGTCAATAGATTTTAAAACATTATTCGATGAGAGAGAGAGAACGCGCGTGCGCGTGTGTGTGTGAGACGAAGTGAGCAAGCCCTTTTGGTAGACGTATTGCAGAACGGAAGCTGGCAGCCTGGCACTAAAGGGACACATTTACGTCTTCCCAGGAGTGCGTTAGCTAGCTGGCTAGCCGTCGGCCAAGCTGGCCGACCGTCCAACCGACCCCAACCCTCGTCAGCGACCTCCCTTTTGCCAACCCTGATGTTAACCAGGGCTGGTCAACCTCGCCAGTTCGTTTCAAACTCAAGCTCGATTCCTCTGTTAGTCCGTGCTAATCGAATAACCGCGTATATAAGCGTATGTCGAATTCGCGGAAACTCTGTTAGCCATTAGGAAAGCGGTAATCCTCCAATTATTGCGCAGTCATCGGGGAGCTCGGTGGTTGGGTGAGCCGGACATTGCAAAGTCTCGCGAATTTCCGGAGAAGTAAGGGTCGGCATTTCCGTAAAATTTTCTCGCTAACGGGTTAAACGATTCTCGATGATATTATAAGCTTGATAGAAGACGCTCCTATCTAGCATTAACATGAAAAATAGGTATAGTGATGAAATTTTCAAGCGTTATACTCAACAAAGTACATATATCGTATATTGTTGTATGATTGAGTCACAAATTCGGACTATTACTATATAATTTACAAAGTAAAATATTTAAGCAGAATAAAAATTATTCCTGCATTAATTGCAATTATTCTAAGTTTCAATTTATTTTTAGGAAAATTTTAAAAAGAGGCACGGCAGCGTCTCTCGCGCCATTATACTTATCGCTGAGACACTACCGTGTCTCCAGATAAGAGAGAAATTAGGGTGAAAGAGATAATATTTTAATCTGTTTCGTTCGTGAATGACAAAAAATATTGTAATTATTCAATAATGATCGCTTTTGAATTTAGCAAAAGATCTATTTGCATAGTGCGTCTGTGGTCCTCACGGAGTTATCTACCGAGGACTAGTCTATCTATGCTGTGGAGCCAGCGAGAGAGATTAGTCAACTTAAGTCGGCTCAATCTCTCAGTCCCTTACCAAAGCTTTGGCAGTTACAAGGTAATCGAATTACAGAGAGCATATGTCGAATGCATGGGAGCTATTGTATGTATCTGTGGCTCACGGACTGAGAGAGAGAGAGAGAGATATGAGAGATTGAGAGCATTATCTATTCGCCACTAAGCCGCAAGGAAACCCGATTTCTCCAGAATTTCGCATTAGCGCATTATTTACGTTTTGCATTGAAAATACTAGCTCGATCCCTTACTTCAAAAGTGATACATTTAAAAACGTGATTTTCAAATTATTACCATAAATGATATGAGTCAGAGGTAAATATTATCTTATCAATCATCAAAAGTCGACTAATTTAACTTCATCAAAAATCGTCAAAACATAACTCAAAAGAATGATTTTTTAAAAATCGTCAAAATTGTCGGAATTCAAAAAGGAGTTTTTTCTTAAGGATTGTAAAATAAAAATAACAAGAATAACATTTAATCGTATTAAGAATATAATTCCTTTTGCCGATATTATTTGATTAGTCAATAATTTTCTGTTAAGTTGAAATATTTTTCCCTTTTTCTGGGAAATTTACCTAATTTTTTTAATTGTACGTCACTTTTAAAGTAAGCAAACGATATGTAACATGAAACAAAAAATGAAGGATCTAATGAACATTTCCAGCGATTTGAGAGAAAATTAAATTCGTCCTGACTTTCTCAAATCGTTACAAAATGGGCATCTCTGCGCCGAAGCTTTCAACCTTGCTTGAAATATTCGCAAAGAGAATTGGATATACTGAAAACACTTCGACCTAAATGCATCGAAGTTGTTTCGAGGCAACTCTCGGGCCCTTCGAGCATAAAAGCGATGGTTTCCCTCTGAGGTCAATTCTACTTTATACTTATCCCTTCGACGTCGAAACGGGAACCTTTCTCTGTTCGAGACACTGTTCGAACACTGTAATTCAAAGTTTCCCATAAAGTCTCCTTAAATTAAATCCTTCCGTCTCTAACCTGCCACGCCATTTGAGGCTTATCTACAAATTTTCTGCCAGTCAAATGAGCAATCTCTAATGCAAAGAGTAATAACCTCTAATTCTTATCACATGTAGGACGCTTGTTAGGGTCACCACCTTTATACGAATCTAGGCGACTTTAATCGTTTTAAAACGAAAAGATAATTAAAATTGGAGGTTTTCAAGATAAGTGTCAAATTATAAGAATCTTGCTTGTCAAATATATGATGCATTACGTATATGATCTATTTTAAACTTAACGAGTAAAAACATGACTCACCGCTGTCAAGGCTATTCTGATTTTCTAGATCAGGGCCTTGGATGGAAGTTGACCTGCCATCTTGCAAATAATCTGAAACATTAAACATGTTATGATTAGTACAGTCTAATTACATTCAATTTTCTTAATTAATTTAAATCATTAAAAGTTATTGATTTACAAGATTTCTGTTTCTTGTTACCAAATAGTGATGCAGCTCATGTATTTTTAGCTGCTGAAATTGGCTGTTCCAATATAACCAGCGCTATTATACGCAGGAAAGTGCATATTGAAGAACATTTGATTGGTTATTTCCAATAATGTTATCGCCATTATGCGCAATGTTTCATCTTATTAATTCTACCATGACTTGTATGGACAAAACGACAGTGTAGCACCCAGCGTATTACGTGCACAAACAATACTGAGTTTATGAAACTAAGATTAAAAGCTTAAAAAAAAGATTTATATTGATCTGCAAATTATGTGTATACATAGATATGCTTTATAGCAAAAACTCAGAATAATACACAAAACAGTAATTGTGTCTAGCAGTAAGTACTCGATATTGCAGAAGACGACGTTGCAATATGTTAGATAAGGACAGATGTATATGTTTGAGTGAGACAGAACAATAATGTAGGAAATAAATTAAAGGTGTCACTATTATTGGCTTTTTTATTTAGAAAAAAACAGAAAGAGGAAGGGCTATGAGTCTAAGAGAATAATCGTTAAAAATTGAAAATTGAAAACGTTAGTAAATAAACATGTCATTTAGTTAAAATACTTTAATTTGTCGGCAATAAACAACAAATCAAAAACAAACGTTTCGATCCCTATTGGATCATTATCAATGTTAAAATAACAGTGAAATTATTACAAATAGAACATACATAAAAATTAAAATATGCTCTCAATCGCAGTATTAAAATTATCAAATCTCACTCAGCATGTAGTAATTGTAGTAAGAATGATGTTATCGGAAACAATTTTATATTTAGAATTAAAAAAGTTTTTTATTTAGAATTTAAAAAGTCTGTCCTATCGACGTCGATCAAGTTTAGCCAGCACCGCCTTAAAAAAATTTAAATTTTGTTTTGTTATATAATATATATATATTACGAATTGGCGTTATTATAAAAGAAATACTAAGCGGAGTTTTTAAAAATTAAAGAGTGATGCAGTTTTTTAAAAAAGTATCCTTTTTTCAGTGTAAATCTATAAGAAACACTTATTACTTTAAAAAACAAAATGTTGATCAAAATTTGTTGTTTAGCGTTATTTACGGAAAAAAATGCCTCGAAGACTTGTCGAATTTTGTTTTGAGAGCGCTCGCGGCGATCTCGCTATGAGAAGATTCGTACGTCTCCACAAACTCACGCTTAAGAATTAAGATTCGGATTTGACAAAGATGTCTTCGCGCGGTTACATCAATCTCGCCGCGTTCCGTCTAGCCCGGTGTCGAGATCCGCGCGTCTATAACCCGCCAGGATCTTAATAGGGATTCCGCGCATTGAAATTTCATGGGATTTCGGGCGATCGAGCGGAACGAGTTTGGAGATACGCTGCGTGCGGCCTATACCTGCGCCGCAGATGATGCCGCTTGCGCACGGACGCGAATAATACGGGAAAGGGTGGAAAAGAGCGGTACGGCGTTGATCCCGCGGGAGTCATACTCCGGTGATATTGGCTCCCACAGCCCATTCCTGCGCATAGGAGACCCAGCCGCCTTGGACCAACATATCCGTACGCGCGCGTGTACATCATACAAGCACATATACGTATATGAGAGGAAGACCGGCCAAAATTCAAATTTCCCATCGGAATACGTGCGACTTTAAGCACAACTTGCGGGAAACAACCGCGGCGGCCAAAGCGCATCGATAATCGAACTTTACGGCGTCCGCCTCGATACGCGATGGAAAAAATTACACCGCGTGTCTTCGTGACATTAGTATAATACCATGTCGAGATAGCTCACTTATAGCTGGGTCAACGCGTATTTTTATTAGCGCGCGCGCGTGCACGCACACATCAATGATAAAATATTCGCGCATTTCATACGTACTTTTCACATATATATAGGGTGTCCGGTAAGTTTTGACAAAGCGCTCGTGCGTAGGTAGAACGGACTAAACTAATTGTGAGTCGCGAAAAGTCCTCTTCTAAATCGGAGGATTTTTTATTTAGATTGTAATATTAGATGAGCGACACAAACTAGTCGTGAGAGATTGAAATAAATTTTACAAAATGTTGTCCGATATATGAAGTATCAATTAACTCTTTGAAAACCGTAGCTTTCTAATACAATAACTTATTTTTAAAGATTTTGTTTTTTAAGAATTTTTGGGATTATTGTATTTGATTCTGGTCTGAGAATTTTTAAACTCAAGTTTCAAAAAATAATTTGATTATCGTTAAATTCGGTTTTAGATTCTTGATATCATTGACTTTTGAATGTGTAACCTGAAAATGTCAAATTTCAAAGGGGTAGTAACTTCCAATAAAGGAGGATTTAGTGTCACAGGATTCAAAGTTTGAAAGTCAGTTTGGAAATTAGTGTTTGCATAGTATTGATGAACTTCAAATAAAGCGAAACTAGAAACTTGACGTTTTACATATATATATATCGCAATTAAAAAATTCCTAAAATCGAGTTAAATGATAATCAAATTATTTTTTCAGGGAAATTCTGCCCAGCATATTAAATTCACTATTTTAAACTTTTATCAAAAAGCCGAAATATAAAACCAATATGCATTTCTATGCATTTCTTACGATTATTACAATCGTACTATAGTTCTTATGACCAAGAAATGTATTGATGGGTGGCTTTTGGTCACGGCAACCGTAGCCATTTTTTCCGCGTAGCAACACGAATATGCAATGAGTTTACGTATGCACGTTGATTCTGTGAAGCATTTTGTATTTAATTTTATCGTAATATTAAAGTATAATATTGTAAATATAATAATTTGTTCCAGTTTAACAAGTTCAGCACCAGCGCGCGGCGGCACACACCATGTGACATTACACCTATACAAATGTATACCTATAAAAATTAATCGGCGCTCAATGTATTAATAACAACTTGCCTCATAGTAAAGTAAGTTGTTACAGTTTTCCTTCTGATATAAAATGTTAATTTTCAATGTTTAAAAATGTTGATACAAATTAGAAAAGAATTAACTGTCTAGTTAAATATATAGAATATAGCGGGGCTTTTTTGTCCATTTCTTGCGATAACGTTCATGTTTCTAAACAGCACATGTTGATTATTTAAAGATTGTGCTCTCAATGAGTAATAATGATTGTAATAATGATTGTATGTTAAGCACGTCACTGCAGAGAAAGAGAGGGGAGAGAGAGAGAGAGAGAGAAAGAGAGGTTGTTTGGTATTATAAATTTTCGTATTATTTTAAAGTTGAAACTGACGGAATAGTCCCGCTTTACCCTATTTGTATCAATGTAGGTGTTCATTGATAATGTAAATATATGTATACATTAGGCCGGAAAAAATTACTAATAAAAAATTATTACAACTAACCTCTCTCATATTTTGTTCATTGGTGAGACACACAGTTATAGTTGTATCACTGAGATTAACAGCGAAATCTCGTAAAGATACTCACGAGTCACACAATCCTTGGTTAATTCCTCTTTCGTGCTGCTTCTACATTGCGAATAACTCACTGATAAGACGATATCGAGGAACCGCGGCGGAATAAAACGTTAAGACCGCGGTGGAACGAAAAGCCGCGGCACTCAAGCTGCTGGAATTATCATCGCTCGTAAGTCACGGCGCGAACATTGCAGCTGCAACTGCGGCGCGGCGTGGGTGGCGCGAGCGAGCGCGGTTCGCGGCGCTTCGGGGACGAGATAACTCGTATAAATAACCCGGAAGTCCGCGGTGCACAATAGTCCCCCTTTTTTTACGAGTATGACTTTTGGGAGTTCCAAGGCTGTACGCTTGGGATGCCGCGTTGGTAATCAGTTCGTCGTTGTTACCGAAATGCACTGAGCGAACCAGAAAAAAGGAGAGAAAGAGAGGAAAAAAGAGCTCTCTCTCTCTCTCATCCTCTTTCTTCTTCACCCCTTTCTCTTTCTCTCTTTTTCTCTTTACACTTCTTTCTTTGCAGTTTTAAGAGCAAATTTTGTAATCATTTCTGTTGTCGCAATCATTGTTAACTCATAGTTAAGTACACGAAAAAAAAGATTAGTTGCTGCGGCAACAAGAATCTGTATATGTGATAGCTAAATTTTAGTTGTAACATATGAATACTTAAAACTTTAATAGAGTAGTTAATTTTAATTAGATGTTATAGATAAGTCATAAAAATTTAACTATAGCCAAACACTCTTTTTAATGAACGCGTTGTGTCTATTGCAACAACGAGTGATATCCAATGAGAGCTCTGTTTTACATCGTCAGGTGAGAAAAAGCAAAGCTTTCATCAGATATCGCTCATCGCATCCAGGGTGCAGTAGACATTACAATTAGTAGACATAGGCGTTCATTATGATGGACATTAGATATTTCTAATATTTTAGATATTATCATATTAACACATTTTGGTACATATAAACTTCCCTTACTTACATATAAAAAGTTCATATTCCTGAATTTTTACATACATAAAAATTGGCACTGTCAAAGATATCTCATTTACTTTCATTATGGAAACCATTTCGGGAATTCGCTTTGGAGGAATCTTTCATTACGTGTGAGTGATGTGAACGAAAAGTTTTATGATATTGTGTCTTTTATTCCGTTCTGTATGGGTTTTTTTAAATACGAGAAGTTTAACTTCGTCGTGTCCATCTATTAGTGGTGTCGCATATTACTCACGGGTAAATGACTTTAGTGAAAAGTTTAATTTAAACACGTTCCTATACTTTTGTTGCGCTAAGTACGTCTGTCTAGAGAAGCACACACACACACACACACACAAATTTTCAATTTATAATCTATATGATCTGTAGCATTGATACATAGCAAACAAGTAGATATACTTTGCTAAAAAAAACTAATGTAGTAACGCAACAGTGTGCGAATTCTTTTGCTGCAGCAATAAATATACTTTCAGCACACT